TGCCCTTCCCCGTTAGGCCTCGCCCTCCGTGGGACCGGGAGTCGCTCGTGCTCTGGGGTGCCGCAGGCTTCGGGGTGAAGGCTGGCGCCGTGCGCCGGCCGCAGCCGGGGTTTGTTCCTCCGGCGCTGCTTGGTGCCCAGCGTCGGTGGAGCTGGCGTAGTGCGTGCAGCGCCGATCGAGCGTGCTGTGTGCCCCCTCAGATTTGCGGCCTTAGTCTGTAAGTGGTAACCGGACACAAATCATACACTCAGGGCAGCGTTTCTTTATGTCACTGGAGGGCAGGAAGTTTTTTTCTTAGCAGTTCCTAGTATTTATGGCGTCAACAGGCAGGGGATTTCAGGGCAAGAAGGACACAAAAAAGGTAATGGAAAGTAGGGGTTTGCAAGCAAGGGCTGTTGTGGAGAAAGGAAACAAGCCGAGAGGTGGCAGTTCAGCAGAGGTTAAAATATATCAAGAGAATGAACTGTGATGGGAAGATGGAAAGCAAAGACAGAAGAGTTATTTAAGCCTTTCATCTTTATAGTACAGAGTACTGTTGGGAGGAGTTGGGCCCCTATTTCAGAAGTGTTCTGAAGCACAGAATTAGGACTACCAATACCCTGAGGTTTTAGGGGAGTTCAGTGTTTTCATCAGGTAGGGCTCAAAGGAGTCCATGTGTTAATATGCGTTGCTTTAACGTTCCCTAATATAAACACTCTGTGTTTGGTCTGGTGAAGAACTTCCCAGGAGAGGTTTGCAGAAGTAGGCAAATACCAGAGGGAGATGCTTGAAAATTTTTGATTCGAGAGTTAAGAATAACCATAAAACACTTCTCTGTGTTCTACCATGCATATCTTGGACTCAAAACCATTTGTAATATTAACTCTACTATTTGCAAAGATGGTAAAAATACATGGAGTAGAAATATTTCAGGTTCTCCCATAGAAATCAGTCAAATTTTTAAAAATACACCTACAGAATAAGACATTTATTTGCTGGCTTTTGATTCTGTTGGTTTACTTTCCACAGATTCAGCTATCTAGGGAGCACTGCAGTTAAAGGCAGCATGGTTCGGTTTCTAATTGTTAAGGAGACAGGAGCTGCAGAGGAGTTAGCAAAGTCCACGTTCTCCTTTGTATGTCTCTGCTCAGATTTAACTGATTGTCAGGTAGCATGCTCATTCTTGTAAAAGTAACGAAAATTTTCTTTACCTCAGCATTCATGAGACTGTTGCACAACTGGGAGTGCACTAGTTTGTATTCTTTCCAGAAAGATCTGTAATGCAGTAGCATATACTGAACGGGGTGCTAAATCATAAATTACAGTGGAAATTATGATGTGGTCTAATCCACATGGTGATGTGAGAGTAGAATTTGTTCTTATTTGTAAATTGCCCCTTAATAGCAGTAAAGTTGTGGTAGTGTTAAGTTAAAGAAGCAGTACTGAATTGCAAAGTTACCTGTTCTTTACGGTTCTCTGGTTTCCTCTTCCTAAAAGCTGTCTTTTTCTGTCTGTACACTTCTGGATGAATTATCTCGAGGTCCAGGCAAGGGATTAGCTGAGTGGAGGGTGAGAATTTAGCTTGAAAGTCTGAAAATGTGTTGACGTCTGTTGGAAGTAATAGCTTTCAGATACACATGCCATTCCTGTCACTGGCAGATCTAAAGCAGAGGCAACACTTTTTCAGGGCCCTGCCAGGATGTTTTTATTGGCCTTTCACTTTTAGGGGACAGTCTTGTTTGCATCTCCAGCTCACAGGTAGAGAGCATGGTGATAAAGAAGGAGCTCATTTCGCCATTATGGCCCTGTGTTTCCTCTGCATCCTTTTAAGAAATTTTTGGAATGTTAATTGTGAAAAAAACCCCAATTTAAGATTATCATGAAGTACCTGGAATAGTGCCTTCTAGAGATGCCAAAATAAGCTAGGAAATACTAGAAATAACTTCAAAAGTTATCTCTTTATCAAGGTGCATTTGTTGGATTTTTGTCAATCTCTGACAAACACTAAAAAAGTCAACGAGGACTTGAGGATTCTGTGATTCATTACCATCTGTGTGAATAAACAGCCGAAACCACAAAATCACAGCTGAGCTGTGATTCTCAGGTTTTTTGCTTAACATACGTACTGAGGTGCGTCATTTCTAAGTTGTAAATCCAAGTTCTATGGGTGTTTGCTTTTAGTGAAGTTTTATTTGCTGATCTGGCAGTTATATGTAGGGAAGGACTTTGCTTTGTGTTGGTTCTGCCACATCACCTGTAGAGTATTATGCCCAGGTATTATACAGAGACATGAAAAATAAATATGTTGAATTAATTAATGTACAGATTGAGATCCTTTCGAAATTCAGTTTCTCACATTGGGTTGTAAGTGTTAGAATAATTTAGCCATTTCTATTTCTATCTTCTATTTTGCAATCAGAGAATAGACAGCGATGTACCCTTGATAGCCCCTTCAGGTGACTTGACTTCTAGAGTTACTCCGAATCCCTTGAGTTTATTTGATACTGGCAAAGTAAATGTGTTTGCATCAATGTAATTTCAGGATTGCCTTTCTGTCAAGCCAAATGCTTACTTAGGAGTGTAGTGCTAGTACTATTTAGCATCTTAGATTAATTTGCAACATCCAGAACTCTCTAGGATTTCGATTTCCTAACATCTGCTTTGGCTGCAAGTTATTTGATCAGGAATTGAGGTAAAGTATCTTCGATGCTGATTCTGTACCAAACTGTGTTTTAAATGGAAAGAACATGAAAGGTCAACCAGAACACTCTTAATTGCAACATGTTCTTTTTAACTAAGAATCCTGCTAGCAAACAAGCTAATTCTATTGATGTTGTCTTGACAGGTTTTGAAGCTTTTCAAATTGTTACACAGAACCCGACAAGAAGTTTTTAAAAATGATACCAGAGCTCTGGAAGGTGAGATGCGCTTTTTTGTGTGGTCGATGCCTACCTGTCTTTCTGTGGAAATTTCTTTTCCAAATACGTAGAGAATTCTTAACATAATCTTCCTTTAAATTATTTCCTTCCACATTTTATAAGTAATATAAGTTGGGAAAAACGTGTGTGTCCATAACTAGACATCCTTCAGTTTGAAATAAAAAACTTCATTGTTACATGCAAGCACTCAAACCATGTGGTGTAAGGAAAACATCTCTTTTTGGAACCTTGGTGATCTTCCTGGGATTTTTTTTTTCCCCCCCTTTTTTTTTTTTTATTTCATCTCTTCAGTCCAGCCCAAGCATGTTTAACTGTACCAAGCATTTGAGTTGATTCTCTCTATGAATAGTTGCTCCTCAGGGAATAAATACTGCTTTTTTAGTAATCCAACTTCTAGTGGTGGCGTCTGTATGTTAGTTATTTTCAAAGCTCAGCATGCTAGAGAGGCAGTAATACTCTATTCCTGTACAAGTCAACTTAAAATATAACATCACCTGAACTCCATGGAAATCTTACATTAAGATACTTCAGGCAGAGTGCACCAGGAAGGTGCTGTAAAAGACTTAGGGTTCAGAGCTTTGAGGCAGTGGCAAAGACAAGGCATAATTTTTTTTGTCCATGATTTAGGTGTTTTTTTGTTTACTGTATTTAGCTGCAAGACAAAAGATAAATGAAGAATTCAGAAATAATCAAGATGAGACATCTGAAGAGAAGATAACTGAGGTACTTCTATTCATTGGTTTTTTTCCACTTTGCATATGATGTTTATATAGGAGTACTTGTTGAGACGAGCCGGATGAGTTCTAAAAGGCTTTCCCGCGGATCTCTGCTTATAAATATATTGATACCTCCATTGGTATTAATAGTATGTTACAGAGTTTAGTACATGCAAAAATACATAGGGGGAAACTGTCTTCTGGTGGTTCAAAATGCTAATTTTGAAGCTTATAATAAAAATACAGGAAAAAAAATCTTAGATTGCTGTTATCATGTAAATATTTTGTATACGTTGCTCATAATGTCTGTCTGAGCTGTGGTCACTGAAGTTTACCTGGTCTTTGTTGTGTATACAAGCACAAAGATACAGAGAAATTGAATAATCTGCTCAGTTACTGGCAGACATGGGAAGTTACTTGGGTTTCTGATCACTGAGGCAGCGTCTTTTGTGAGAGGCAAAAAACAGCCGAATGGTCGTGACTGTTGTAATACAGAGGTATTACACTACTGGCTTTTTAGCTTCTTCTTTCCTCACAGTGCAATAAAAGGATAACATTGATAGACTCCATGATCTTAAAGCTATTTTCCACCCAAAACAATTATATGATGCTGTAAACCCACTACTTAAGCTGCCTTTGCTCAGTTGGTACCTTAACACTATCACTGAGTTGTTTTTCTAAAACTTACTGAGGCCTGAAATGAAACCTCTGTATTGTAGATATTTTTAGTTGTTAACGTCCATACGGAGTGAATACTTTAGTCCCTGTCATTCAGCCTTTTAACAGACTGCACTGACATGAAGAAAGTGCCTCTGTATGTGCTTTGCAGAAGTAAATCTAAACCTGTGCGTCATACCAGCCCCTGGGCAGTAGCATAAATAGTTGTGAGGGTTTAGTTGGGGCATTCTAGCATTTCTGCTTGTTGTCAGGCCCCTAGAGTAATACTTCTGTGCTTGTGTTCCCAGAGTCTGGTCTGTTAAACTGTACGTTCTTCTTGTTACAGATGTACAGAAAAAACACTTGCTGGAACGTTTAAATCTCTGTTTGTTAGGAATGGCAACCTACAAAATACACATACGTAACTTTTTGATTCAGTGTGTCAGCGGAAGAAATTCTAGACTTTCGTCACAACTGCAGAGTCCAAGAACATCACAGAAGCTGTCATATTAATTACATATGTGTAATGTAATGAGTGAACTCAGTGCAAAGGAACTGAATCAGATGATATACAGGACTTGTGAGAATTTGGGCACTTGCTTGCATAAACATGAGTGTGTCAGTGTTATGCTTTGGACACCAGCTGAAAAAATGAATATTGGCCAAGCAAATGTGCATTACTCTGCCAGCATAGAAACCTGCGGTCATGTGACATGAAGTACTTAGTTATGTAGTGACGTAAGGAGGTAGGAGTAGCTATCTGCAATATGTGAGATGTGGCAGTTGAATCTACTGTAGCATTTTAGTTCAGGTCAGGAGTGCACTTCCAAAGTTACCTTGCTAATCTTCACCTCCTGTGATTTGGCTTGTTTTGTGAAGCGGTCTCGGAGCAAATGGCAGGATTCATTAGCGATGAATCTGAAGTGGAAGGTGAGCATCACCTAAGAGCATGCAGCCCAGCTGCTAATGGGCATTCAGTAGGGGGAACTGGAGGATACCCAGCCCAAACTCTTAAAAGAGAAAGCGGGGTGGAGGAGAAATTCAGTGTAGATAGCAAGTTTTGAGCTCTAACTGTTGCAAAGATCCACTTTGGTTGGTACATACCACTTCTAGTGTAAGCATGTCTCAAAGTGTCTCACTTGGGCGATTTCATTTATTTCTGACACAGGAATCATGCAAGCAAGTATTAGGCTTCTCTCAATCTCTCAGCAAAACTAGTAAGGATGCTTCTGCTTATCCTCTTAATGAGGGAAGGAATTCTAGGCTTTTTCCCAAATATTGATGTCTCTGCGAATCTCTAGGTAGTGCCTTGTTCCTGTACTACTTTTCTGTGAAACCTTGGTATTCTTATTCAACCAGATTGCCCTTTCACGAGGCATAGCCAAATGGTACTGAGGCATTCACCAGTGTCTTTGATCTTTGGAAACTAGTTACTTATTTTGGTAGTTGTATTCTACCTTATTTGTTTGCAGTTTTAATTGGGTATGTAGGTTTTGTACCGCTGTAGGTTACTTAGCAGAAGTTTTCCTTCCTGTCATACTGTACATTAAGGTAGCTTATACATCAACCTGGAAGTTATTCCAGGATCCACAAAGTAAAAACTATGTATAGGTAGTGCATAACTAACTGAATAGTAGGACTGACTGGCTTTATTAATTGAATATCTGTATAGCGTGGAAAATACCTTCAAGAATAATTGCATATAATTTAAGTCACTTGTTTGGTTTTTTTTGTTCTTTTACTAGCTTCTGAAAATAGCTTCAGATGTTGAAGTGATTCTCAGAACTTCTGTTATTCAGGCAGTTCACACAGATACCGACAAAATATGTGAGTAAAGCTGCATGCTAAAAAGATGTTTAGAAATGTTGTGATTTGGTAAATAAATATGGAACTTGAAAGCT